CCAAATAAAATCAATAATATTTCATTTAGTTAGTGGCTGAGCAACAAGATGAGCATCATCAACAAAGAAGTGAGAGAGGAAAGACTAACAGTAGATCTTATAATCAAAAGGAACATGGGGCATCTATAAAGAGATTGTATTGATGAAGCCAAATAATCAGCCTAATCTGATGATCTTTCTGTTGTCGCTGCAAAGCTCAAGCTAACCAGGAAGTAGCAATTCCAATCAGGACCAATACTCTACCTTAGAACCATAAGAGAACATACCTGGAAGTAGCAGTTCTGATCCGAACCAATATTACTCTACCTTAGAACCATAAGAAAACAGACGGAGCTAACATGGTTCTTCTGGAAATGCTAGGCATTGGTAAGGGAACACATGAAGAGAAAAAATGTCTCAGGAAAGCATACTCAAAAGAATCTACTCACCAATGACCACGTGAACTGGAATCTCTAAGAACTAAGCAGGTAAGCTACTTTACCACAGATTCTGGAAAGTCAGAAGTATGATACCTTTTGATACTGGATGGATGTGGTCTAGTGCCGATTTCCACAAGAGCAAAAAATGAAAAGATAGAAATGCTCATCGCCAAGTAACTGGTGTGATTAGCTTGGACAATTTCTAAAACCTCCTGCATCCACAATCAGAAGCAAATGGAAACCTTTCTTTGTATATTTAAACACCAACTAATAATATTGTGAAACATGTACCACCCAAACATTTAGGTCCAACAAACTAAAAGAGTTAGCACAAAAAGGGGAAGGAAAACTAAGTATCCACCTTGCCTGTTTTCCCTTATCAAAACCAGAGGGTTCAAACCATTTGGACCCGAAGAAATGAATCCATTCTTAGACCACACCAAACTTGGCTGTACTTTCCTTTGTGAACCTTTAGAAAGCACTTGAAGGGTAAAAAATCATTACAAAAGCCAATAGCAAAGAGGTAACAATCGAAGCAAAAGCCCAAAAGCTGCGAATCAAACAAATATAGAAATAGAGGACAAACTTTCTATTAAAAACTCGCCTAATCCCACCAAATGCTACCCCACAAACAAGTGAATCAAACATTCCAGAAGCCAACAAAGAATTTGTTTACCATAGCTATGCTACAACATATGTCAAAATGGTTGGTACCAAACATACAAGATAACAAAAATAATTCCAAAGGTAATCACAAATATGGTATGAGAACAAGATGACAAAGAAGCAATCAGAGTGGGCATCAAACCAAATTCCCCACTAGTCATCGGGCTTCTCCCATTGAAAAAGAAGCTCTTGTTGAACCCAATAGCCTTGCGAGAGTAAAGAGACTACGACCAAATGCAAAAGTAGCATCTGCAGCCAATAGACAGATTATAGCATGGGCAAAAATACTATGACATTCCTCAAACAACTTCATATTTAAAACATCATTTTGATTCCTCAAAATATAACTATACTATCCATCATTTGGCAAACATGAACCAATAGGGGACTGCATTAAAGTCTTGACTGTTGAGTAGCATGTTAAAATGTATTTACAATAATAAGAAAAGTCATATAAGTGCACCATACTTCCAACTGATAAGTGTCAAACAAAGCATACTATAGACTTATGATGACTGAAACAGTCATAATTATGACTTAGGAAGCATTGCCATAGTCAGCTTTATTCTTACAGAATCTAGAGCAAAAGTTGGCATTGTAATAACAAAGGCTAATCAAATCAAGCTCGATGAATCGTTAATCTCCTAAGATATTTTCACAAGGAGACATTCAAGCAATACCACTCAATTTTTTAGATGGCATAAACTTCTTGAGCGAAATGAACCTTAAAACGTAGATTCTGCAAAAAAGACTTTAAGCTCTTCAACATTTTCTAGATGGATGATAGATTATGAACCGATATTCTATGAACTAAGCAAATAGTATGACCCAATAATCTAGCCATTCCATTTCTCCGTGTTTCCATAACCCGAAACTAGTAGTAAGACCATCGCTCACTTGACAAAAAGGATATACTAGCACTCATAAGCATTCTCTTGCCCATGCTTTAGTAATCAACATGAAAACACAATATAACGGAACTTCAAGAATCTATAATAACACTTACATTATGCACATCGCCGCTCTGTGAATCCCGTTAATTGATAGCTCCCCTTCTTCTCGCTCATGAGATGAGATTTCCTTACCCAAACTTACTCACATCACCATTCTTCCCAATCGCATTGACATCCTCAAACCTCTGGCGCCCCGCTTAGGCCTCTCCTCCTTGGGCGGAGGCGGATCTCACGGATGCCCTAACCCGCTTTCCCCTTGCTTGGCCGGGCTCGTCCCGTCGCCACCGCCTCGCGTGGCCCTTCCGCTTCGTGGCGACGACCACCACGGCTCGCGGTCGGTGGTGAGTCGCGGCGCTAAGACGGACTCCACGGGTGGCTAGACAAGTGGTCCCGCTTGACGAGGGTGGCGGGGACTTCGGACGGGAAACAGATCATCGGTTCCCTTCGACGGTCGTCGTCCCGTCGTCATTGATAGCGGTAGCTACTACTGTATGTCTCTTTGTCGTGATGGTGACGGAGAATTGACGGCGGTCATCTCGCCGCCTCCGCCCCGTCCTTGGCGCGGCGGTGGTGGCGGCGGCGGTCCTCGCCCCCGCGTCGGCCGGCGGTGTGAGCGTCGATGTCGTGGCGACTGCAGCGGTGGTGTCGGTCGTCGTCCCGGTCGCGGATCGATGGTGCCCGTCGTCGTCACGAGTGCGGCGCGAGGAGGGGTCACGATCCATGGGTGGGGATTGGCAAGGAGAGGGGTTAGGGTTTGAGTCGATTCGCCAATGAGGGAGGGAGGGCTGAGAGGAGAAAGAGACGAAGGATCTACGGTCGGCGTCGCGTGCGGGTTCCGAGTATTTATTTATTGGAGCATTTGTAGGGGCGACTAGTTATTGAGCCGCCCTTATAAATAATAACATCGAGGGCGGCTGGTGAGTGAGCCTCCCCTACAAATCCGACCTATTTGTAGGGGCGACTCGTATCACCAGCCGCCCCTGCTGTTCAATTTGTAGGGGTGGCTGGTCTCTGAGTTTCCGAGCACGCCACTATAGGGGCGGCTCCATCACTAGCCGTCCCTAAAAAAAATTTGTCCAGTTGCTACAAACCGTTTTTCACGTAGTGTCAAATTCACCAAATTTAATATTGGTTTGGGTTGATTCTCGTCTTGTGTTCTCAGGATAAACTAAGACGTGTAGTTAACAACCATGTTAGTACCGGTCATTGATTTATCACCCAACCACTAAATCATAATTATAGGCTTCTAGCCTATAAGAGACATTTTCTCTACAACAGGAACTTATAATACTCCATCCGTTCTAAATTATAAGTCGTTTTGACTTTTTTAGTTCATCCATTTTGCTATATATGTATAAAAAAATCAAAAACGATTTATAATTTGGAATGGAGAGAGTATATAACAGAGAAGCTCCATCCTTACCCATGACGGATCCAACTCCATATTACATGCTCCATTATTTGTCTCATTAATCCGATTGCTCCTATGTATGGCGGGGATCTACAATTTGATAGCAATACGTCTACAATGACCTAGAGATGATGGCCATGGTTAGTTTTTGAGGTGTGGTAAGACGAAGTGTGGCTGCCCATATCCTTTTCTCAGAATGTCTAGGCGTTCATAAGACGAGATGAGGCAACGCCATAACAACATGTGAAGCAGCAAAATAGCGACAAGGAGAGTGAAAAGGAAAAAAAAAGAGGAGAGGAAGGAAGAAAGCTTGCCTAGCCCACCAGCCAACCGACACTACTTATCCACCCTTATCTATTCACCGCGATGCTGTCCTCCCTTATCCATCCACAATGCCTCTCAAGGTGTACTGATTTTTCAATTTGGCTACATGTTGGCTCGGAAGGGATTGACCGATTGAGACTTTTGGTCGCGCCAGAGTTGCTTTTTGCACAAGTCCAGCATGCCAAATTCCCTCATGGCCGATTGTTTGTGCATAGTAAATTTGAATTGTGCTAATTTATTTATATTTTAAAGGTTTCATTCGGATTAGAGAAGGGCAACTAGCCAACTAATAACCGTGCGAAATTTTCCATCCCGGCCCAACTTAATTTTGTTTGAGTGGAGGCCCAACTTAATTGAAGCCAGGTCAGTTAAGGCCCATACCACGGGACCAACTTACACACGTGGCCTACGAAGACATAGAAATCCTTGCGCAGACCACGCCGCCACCGCCCACCGCAGGCCGCACGCACGTCTTGCGGCTCCTGCCGGGTCATTGCTCTTTGGGGAAAATATGAATGTCGTTTGTGGAAAAGTTCAGCGGTCTTTAACGTCACTGTTTTAACTTTTTTGTGCCCTCCATGCCACTGCTGTCAGTTTGAGCTCTAACGTCGTCAAACTGTAGGTGTGAAAAGTCAAAAATACCCCTAAGTCTAAAGATGTCATTAATTTTTTTAAGTATCTTAACGACTTCAAATGAAAAAACTCAAAACTAAAAAGTTGTAGATCTGATCGAGATCTATAATTTTTATATAAAAATTATCTTCATTTAATTTCGTAAAAAAAAGATATGATTTTTCTAAGATATATTAATCATATCAAATCATATTTTGTTGCGGAATTAAATGAAGATAATTTTTATATGACAATTATAGATCTCGACGAGATCTACAACTTTCTAATTTTGAGTTTTTTCATTTGAAGTCGTTAAGATGCTAAAAAAAATTAATGACATATTTAAATTTAAGAATATTTTTAATTTTTTACACCTGCAATTTAACGACGTTAGAGCCCGAACTCATGGCAGTGACACGGAGAGAGAAAAAATTAGAGCAGCGGAACGATCTCTTTTAACGGCACCCAGCAATTCCCCCTCGCTCTTTCCGAGTTCCTCCGACCGCCCGAGCCCGAAGCCAAACCACGCCTTAAACCCCGTCAATCCGAGATCCGACGGCCCAGATCTCTCGTCTCCCTCTCCCCGTCCGTTCCCCATCTTCCCGCCCTCTCGCCATGTCGCCGCCGGCGGCCGCCACCTCCGGCGACGGGCCGCCTTCGTCGCCGCGCGAGCTCTACACCATCCCGGCATCATCCGGTAAGAATCCTCTCTCTCTCTCTCTCTCTCTCTCTCTCTCTCTCTCTCTCTCTCTCTCGACGCGCCCTTCTTCCCCGTTGTGCTCCTCCTAGGGTTACGGGGGTGACCGACCGCTGAGCCCGCCGACTGACCGAATTCCGTGTCTGCTTCCGCCACCCCACAGGTTGGTTCCGGTGGGACGGGATCCACGAGACGGAGCGGCGGGCGCTGCCGGAGTTCTTCGGCGGGGCCGGCGGCGCTGGGTTCGGGACGGCGACGCGGAACCCGCGGATCTACCGCGAGTACCGCGACTTCATCATCGCCAAGTACCGGGAGGACCCGGCGCGCCGCCTCACTTTCACCGAGGTCCGTAGGGCGCTTGTCGGGGACGTCACGCTCCTCCGGAAGCTCTTCGCCTTCCTCGACTCCTCCGGCCTCATCAACTTCTCTGCCTCCTCCTCGTCCTCGGGCCCCGCGTCGCGGAAACAGGAGGTGGGGGTCGTCGTGGAGGCGCCCGTGGGGCTGCAGGTGACGCCGCGGCCGCCAGCGTCATACTTCGCCGAGGAGAAGCGCGGAGCGGCGGGCGGGGAGAAGGAGAACGGATTCCGGTTGCCGCCGCTGACCTCCTACAGTGATGTGTTTGGGGAATTGGTACCTGCGAAGGCGCCTATATGTGGTTTTTGCGGTGAGGAGTGCAATGGTGCGAAAGTTGAGACGCTGCAGGTACTATTAAAGCTCCAAAAAACTGTCTGAAGATTTTTTTTCCATGATTGTTGTTTTTTAGTAGATTTTGGGTTTAGGACTATGAACTGCTAAAACCTAGAAGGTAGAATGTGGAATATGCAGTGCCAAAAGCAGTAGCTCAGATCAAAGCAACTCATACTGTCTCAGGTATAGGTTCATGGACGTTTCAAACATGCTTGAGAAACACTGCAAACTTGTGAAGGTTGTTTTGAACTGATATTCTCATTTTTGTTAAAACAGGTAACATAGCATACGCTCCAAGAAAATGAAAGAGGGGGCAAATGATAACTGTGGTGCTACTGTATATTATTAGGCTTAGGGATGCTATGTAAATGTCTATTCCCTAGGTTCTAAGATTGGAATATTTTAAACCTACAATTTTGATTTGCTAACGTTGGAGAATTCATTCATTAGTATATTTTGTAAATAATAGTTGCCCTGGAAGATGAAAAAAGAAGTATATATTTTTTTCTGTGGACTAGCTGACAACGTGAGGTTGGTAGATGAGAAAATGCACACACAATCTGCTCACTCAGCTCTAGTGGATATTTGTCGTATTGCAAAGTGGCTCTTTTCACTAAGCTGTGGTATCAGCTACGCATTGACTGAGTGGTACATTTTGTTCTTATGGTTACATCAAGCAGTGATGAAAATTGGGAAATATTTGCTCTGTATTCATTAACATTTCCCACATTCACTTTCAGGATGGTTTGAAAGTATGTTCAAAATGTTCCAAAAGCAATAATGATAATAACAAGGAAGAAGCGAATAAATGTCCTGGTGACAAAAAGGACAGCATGGAAAATCATGCTTCCAGTGCATGGACAGACGCGGAGACGTTACTCCTTTTGGAAGGAGTCCTAAAACATGGAGATGACTGGGATCTTATCGCCCAGCATGTCCGTACAAAGAATAAATCAGAATGCATAGCAAGGCTGATTCAGTTACCTTTTGGCGAACATATGCTGGGCACAATAAATGGTAAATCCGTTAGCAGGCTCCACATAAACCAGGCAACTGATGGAAAAACAAACCAGCACATTATGAAGGAGTCTTCAAGCCACACGACTGAAATGGCTGATGGCATGCACATTGATGGAAATGAAGATAGTGCTGATAAATCAGTTGAAGAATATCCTACAAAACGCAGACGGTTATTTTCTTCAATGGATGCTACCACTTCATTAATGGAGCAGGTAACTAGATCTACGATAAAACTGTCATGAAACTCACATGCTAGTGTAAGGATGCTTATAAGTTTTAAATGAGAAGGATACTAACATTTGTTTATGCTACCTCAGTTAGCGCTCCTGACCACAACAGCTAGCCCAGATGTTGTTGCTGCAGCTGCTGATGCTGCAATTAAAGCGTTCAGCAATGAAAACCCACAAGCAAGGAAAGCCTTTCGCCTCAGTGAGCGAGAATATAAGACTAAGGCCTTTGCTTCTAATGATGTCCAACAGATGTAAGAATGAGTTTGTATTGTTCATATGTTCATTTTTTGGCCAGAGGTGGTGCGATCTTCTTCTTCTTTTTATGCATGGCATGCTTACAGCGACCGCAAAACTGGCGATAAGGATGTGAAAATGCATGGCCAGCCTGGTTCTGGTAGGTCAAATTTATTTTCTCACATTCCAAGCTAATATAAATACAGTATCCACCTCACCTTTTCTACTTTACTCATCTAAAATCTGTTGTCTTCCATTCATGATTCAGATAAGCAGGAAAAGAAGTTCATTGCTAATGCATATCAATTGAGGGCAGCTGTTGCTACTGCTGTTGGTGTAGCTGCTGCCCGTGCTAAAATGCTCGCAGACCAGGAGGACCGAGAAATGGAGCTCCTAATGGCATCTGTGATTGAAACTCAGGTGAAACTTTAGTCCTTTCCTGCCTAAACTTCTGTCATGACAGTATTCTGGATTTTTAGATTTTACTTATGTTAACCGCATGTGTGAAACAATATATTCTGAGCAAAATTCATCAGAATTCCACAAACAATTTTGGCTTCATAACTTCTTAATCAATGGCTAATGTACGATATCAACAGTGTATAGCTCTAGGGTGTCACTAATTAATGAGCTAAAGTTGGTTCGGCTCTGTGTTCACTCAAGATTTCACATTCCGCTCCCACCCAGTTACCTTGTGCTTATAACAGAAGTTATTAACAGCTTTTATATGTAGTCTTGGTGACCGACTTTGTTTGTCTTTTTTATTTGGAGTGGAACAAACTTTGAGGGTGCTTGGCTTGAGGAACAGGTGGTGCATCATGAGTTTGTTCCATGAAGTTTGGTGGAATACTGGAATCACCTCGTTATGGTTGCACTAATTGTTAGGTTGTGAGGGTTTTTGTGGAGGAGAATCAGCCCATTCCATTCCACAAACCAAAAAAAAAAAGAGGGGTGATATGATGGATCACCCCATTACTCAAACCAAACACACCTTTAAACATATCATTTCGAAAACTAAAATATGGACTTTGTTTGATCACTGATTTTTTTTGGGTCTGTCTGTCTATGTTTACCAGTTAAGAAAGATGCAATACAAGATCAAACACTTTGAGGAGCTAGAGTCAGTCATGGATCAAGAGTACACCAATATACAGCAAATGAAGGGATCCCTCGTGAATGAATGGCTAAAGGTCCTTGAGCATGCATTCCGGGCTGGAGTCTCACTACCGAGAGATGAACTGCTCACAAAGCTGTTCCTAAACTAGCCCACCCCAGCTGTAGTCGAGTAGCCCTCCTCTGATCTGCATCACCCTGACTGTTGCTGGTAGATAGCTTCCTGCGTGTATGAGGGTGCGTCTGTAAAGGTGCTGATTGAGCTTACGATTTCTCAGAATTTTGGGCCCGGGATCACAACAGACCCTTTGTAACATCTTTGCCCTGTTGTACCAACTAGGTTAGATGGCAAAATTGCTGAAATTTTCCTGTAGTTGTTGACATGTATGGTTTCGTTCGTATGGATGGATGTGAAAATGTTACTTCAGTTTTGGAGTTTCACATGTTGCTTGATCTGTGAGCAGATTGCTTTGGCAATGTTGTATGGTGAGATGTGGCCTCTAAAATCGCCAACCGGAGGGTTGACGTGTTCCATTTTTGCATCTTTACGGTGACGAGCAATCTAGCATTTTGGCCGCGATCGCTTCGCTGAAAAAATGAAGACGAAATACTGTTTCGGCTGATATGTTGTGAGTGGAAAACACTATTTCGGCTGAAAAAACAAATTAAAAAATATGGATTACAAGAAAAGCGAACCAGGCCTTTGTTTTACTATTTCGAGTTTTCAACCAATCTGGAATTTTGAAGGTTTCGAATGGACGGCCAGGATGGAGAGTGTTCATCGTAATCATGTCAGGCCCTTGACACCCCGCAAAACGGCCAAAACCTTCGCTCCCAAATCTAAGGCCTTTCCAGCCTCCAGTTGCGAACAACCTGATGGCGAAGAAGAGCAAAGGCCCGGCCGCCGCGGCGCGGCGGCTGATGAGACTGGCGTCTCGAGTCCCCAGGGCTCCGCCCACGGCAGCGAGGGCGGCGGGGAGAAGGAGGGCGCCTTCCTTCTGGGGGAGCCAACCTGGGAGGACACCGGCGGCGGGCGGTGGCGGTGCGCGGAGACGGGGCACGAGCTGCCGGAGCGGGAGAAGGAGGCCTACGCGCGGTCCCGCGCCTGCCGCCTCGCGCTCGTTGACCACGCCGTCGCGCGCAAGAAGCCGCCGCTCAACGCTTTCAAGCCCCACCCCGAACACAAGTACGTACTGATCCCCTTCCCCTCTGCTCCTTCTGCTGCTATTCTGCTCTGTATTGGTGCCTGTGCCTACTCGTAGCTCATGTGAATTTGTTCGCAAACACTTACCCTGATGCGACCCCGAGGGGCTCAATTGGATATCCATTAGTGCTAGTGCAAACCCAGGGGCTCAACTGGCTATGCATTAGTGCAGTGCGCTGCACTAAAAATACTGTTAGAGTTCTGCATCAAAACGTATTTTGGCATAATGATGTGGTGATGTCACATCTTACCCCGAGATAAATTAGTGACAAAAAGTTGATGTGCATCCTTTTGATGAATCATAACGTGCACTACTATTGCAATTTGGGTCATTTATATATAATCTGAGCTAGCCTTTTTGTCCAAGATCGAAGCTGGTATGCAAGATTACAGGGGATACGGTTAACAAGTTGGAGGATCACATATGGAAGCACATCAACGGGAAGAGATTTCTTAACAAGCTAGGTAAAAGTTAACTGTTAATGTCAGACAAATTGTTTGTACCTTGCTGAGAACAATTCATTATTATCAAACGCAGATTCCAGTAGAACTTGGTTGGAATTATGCTACCAATACAACCAGCTGCATAAAGCCTGCACCAGAATATTTGTACGCATGTAATAACCCATTTAACGTGCCCATCACTGTGTAACAGAAAAACTAGAAGACCAGATGGCTTCTGACGAGATGGCTGATGGAGAACCTGTGAAGTCAAATGAAGTGGCAAAGAAGAGCAAGTCAAGAAAGAAGGACAAGAAGAAAGCTAATGTTGCCAGTCCTTTGCCAAGAGAACCTAAACCAGAGATGGATGATTCAGATGATCCAGATTTCTGGGTGCCTCCTGTTGGAAGTCGCTGGGATGACGATGACGGGAAAGACAGATGGGAGTCATCACCAGGAAAACCCAACTCAGCAAAGAACGAAGGTGGTTCTGGTATGTGTGAGTTTGTCAGACTAAACTGCATAGGCAATCCCTGAAGCTAGTAATGATCAATAGTTTATATCACATTTGCTAGAAATGGTTGTTGCATAGGTAACTTTTGCTCAATATTTTAGTTGTTAAATCAATCGCTTTTCTTAGACTTCTTGTTTATGAAACACTGGGACTGGGAATTTATTGGTAACTGAAGGGTTCCTTGGAAAATATTTTCTTGAATCCAGCTTGAGAATAACCATCCCCAACATGTAAAAAAAACATCGAAATATTCCATGTCCAAAAAAGGTTGTTTGTTGCTGAACTAAGGTTTATGCTTGCACATTAAACAGCCCTAAGAAGATCATCCACACTCCAGATGTTGGTTATGCATAAGAAATTTTGTTTTATGCTTGCACTTTTGGTACACATTTATTGGATGTCCCCTAGCATACTGTGGTTTACAGTCCGTTTTTATCCAACTGTACAGATGTGAGGTTCATGTTGTAATTAGATTGTACCTACCTAATGCTACATTTTCCTTGTCTCGTATCATAGATGATGATGGTGGTGGTGATAATAACGGTGGTGATGAGGATGCTACGGCTGACAAGGATGATGCTGAATCAAGGGAACTTGCTTCAAGGTATCTTCATACCTTTTGCTCGATTCAATGAATAATGCCTGCTGTCGCATAAATAAGCAAGGTTTTCAACTATTGTAGCAGGACAAAGCGAATGTCAATAGAAGCAGTTGGGCCAAGTAGCTTCGCTTCAAGGAAGAAAAAACCAAGGAGCAGTAAGACATTGGTGATTTGTCTAGACTCAAATGAAGAATTCGGTCTCGTTGAAGAAGCATCATCTATTAACTATTGGGTCGTGTTTCCTCAGATTTGGGTAATCAATGACTGGATTTGTGTTAGCATGTTTCTGGTTAACGCTTGTCAGCTGTGATACATCTACATTTGCACGTGCCATACAAGAATTTTTTGGAAAACATTGAGGGTCAACTATCAGTTACCTTTGCGTTGCTGCGTGACTTAAGATTTTGGTTGGATCAATCACTTTTTGCTCATTGAGTGAACACAGAATTGATTAATACACATACTGCACAGACAATCACTTTTTGCAGTTACCTATTCTCGAGGAGATGGGAAGCTAGAATTGCTGGTAATTTACACTGGTCAGCAAGTCCTAAGAAAAGCTCACTTCACAACAACGCAAGAAGCATTTTTTTTTTGAAACCAGAATTGCTGGATTTGCCAAAGGTTCTATTCAGTGTCGACTATGTTAGCAAAGCTATTAACTTGAAATGTGTCTTTACGTTGATCTGCCATAGAATGTTTTTTTTTTTTATATCTCCTTAGACTTTCTTGATTTTTTTTTTTTTTTTGAGATTTAGACTTTCTTGATTCTTGATTTTGAAACACTGGACTGTATTGATAAAACAAAATTAATATGCAAAGCAATTGCATAACAGCGGTCACATAATGGCCCACATAAGAGCCCATCCACACCCTTACGCAGAACACTAGTAATAGTAGACAAAATTCTTTTTTTTCTGAAGGGAAGGGGGATCATATTAAATCCTGGCATATTACATATCTAAATTACATATGAAAAAAATATGAAATAAAAATACGTAATATTCTCCTAGATCTTTCCATCGTCTTCTTCCCTAATGGCTTCCCTCAAATCTCGGAACCGAAGTGCAGTACTTATGTCGGATCCAACGACCAAATCCAAAACATTGGATATGCCGCAAGATCTAACGCTTCGGAACCAGTCCAAAAGACATTTGAATCGATGAAAGAATATCGGCAATTACATCGTTGAGTACAACATACGATGTAGATTCATCACCTTGAAACCTTGGTTTCCTCTCCACGACCATCGACGATGAGATCGATGACCCGGAGTAGTTGTCCTCATTGGGGGCGCCCAGAAGCACCCCTCCCCTTGCAAATAAAGGCCACAAATTGGCTGCCTGCTAATGAAATCGACGCCTCTCGTTGTGACAATCACCGAAGTCATCGCATGAACCATAATCCCGACCGAAAATCATCTTATTTCGTCTAAAAATTTATTTAAACTAAACCCTAGACAACAAGAAATAAACCCCGGGGAAAAGAATGGGTCCCTCCCCTTCTTGTCCCCAGCAGAGACCCGGAGGCTATGACAGATTTAATAGTAGACTGTACAAAACTCACTGATGCAATTAGGATGATACAGAGAGGAGTTGCTCTCGCCGGTTGCGAGCTCATCGCTTCACTACACGCCTCTCCTTTCAGCTACGAGTACGAGAGGATTCTTCCTGTGCACGGTCATCCCGGTCTCCTGCTCGAGATCAACCTCGCCATGCGGCGCGCGCCAGTCAAAGCAAAACAGCAGGTTGGCCAGCAGCAGCTCGACCACGGAGTTGGCGAAGTGCACGCCGGGGCAGCTCCTCCGGCCGACCCCGAACGGCACCAGCGAGAAGCTGTCGTGCCACGGCTTGTGGTCGCTGAGGTCTGCGATCTCCTCGTGCCGCTCCGGCACGAACCGCGCCGCGTCCGGCCCCCACGCGTCGGGGTCCTGCCCGATGGCCTTGGCGTTCACGAACACCCGCGTCCTGGCCGGTATCTCGCAGCCGTACACCGTGCAGGGCTCTATGGTCTCCCGGGGCACCAGCAGCGGCACCGGCGGGTGCACCCGCATCGACTCCCTGATGACTTGCTTCAGGTACTTGAGCCGCGGGAGGTCAGATTCCCGGACTATGTCTTTGCCAACCACGGCGCCGCGCACCTCCTTCTGCGCCTTGGCTAGGATGTCCGGGTGCCTTACTAGCTCTGTCATCGTCCACTCCACCGTCGCCGCCGCCGTGTCGGTCCCGGCAATGAACATGTCCTGAAATACGCACATGAATGGTTCCCGTTGTGCAGAAATCGAACCGTCCGCCGATCGATCAAGAAACTTGTGAAACGCAACATGCAAGCGCGTATGAAGATTGAAGCGTACCGTAAGGATGCCTTTGATCTGGTCACGGCAGTTGAACGTGCTCTGGTAAGCCGGATCGCCGTGCAGGCGAAGGAGCACGTCCACGAAGTCCTCCCCCTTGGAGGCATCGGCACCGCGCTTGCTGAGGTGGTCGTCGATGACCTTCTCGTAGAACTCGTCGAGCTCGTGGAAGTTCCGCTCCAGCCGCCTCCGGAGGCCCCGGAGCGCGTCCAGCCACCCCAGCCACGGCATGTAATCGGCCACAAAGAAACCGCCTAGAAGCTTCTGTGTCTCGTCGAGCACCTTGCCGGCCTCGATGCTCTCTTCCCCGCCGCCGTCGCCGAACGCGACACGCCGCAGGATCTTGTTGCTCGTCGCCATAAGCTCTTCGCTCAAGTTCACGGGAGAGCCGCCTCTGGACATGTCCGTTATGGCGGCGACGAGCGCGGCGGCCTCGCCCTCTCGGACGTCGCGGGGAATCAGGTGCAGTCTTGTGGCAACCTCTAAGTTCTAAATTTTTATTTACCAGTTCAACAACATGAAGCTCTTCTTTCTCGCTTCCATACCGTAACACAATATTTACGTGGTTCTTTATGATTTTCAGTCCCCTTTGGTAGTTTCTTCCCTTTTATTTTACATCGCATCTGATCTCTACGTGTGTTGGTCATGTGTTTAGTTAAGACTTTTGTTCAACATATGTAAATCGGCATGTTTCTCACCTTACGAAGCATAAGGAAAATGGATCCTAGGCCCACTTACTTTGGATTTTGATGTTTATGATCAACCCAACTAAATTGGACTAATGAATTTACAAGTAATTGTTTTGTAGTTCAATAGGGTGCAAGACGTGACTTGGACGAAGGCGACATGATGATCCCATGATAACACCATAAGCAAGACCCTAGAAGCACAAGAGAAGACTCAAGATATCAAGCAAAGTCCAAACACGAAGATGGGAACCAAGCCGGACGCAAGATCGCGAAGAAACGAGCTCGGCAGAGGTGACCAAACGCGGCCCTTATAGGGACCGGACGAGTCCGATCAGTTGCTCGGCAACATCAGGCGTCAGCAGCTGTGACCAGACGCTGAGCGAAGCAGTGACCGGACGCACCGATGACACTATTCTTCGTCGCGGCAATGTTTTCAGCGTGACCGGACGCAGCGGCACTGAACGACCGGACGCACAAAGTACAACATCCGATCGAGTCCAGAAAGGTTTTAGAGCGGCGCCAGCGTGACCGGACGCGTCCGATCTAGTGAGATCGGACTCGGCCCAGAGTCCGATCAACGCACACGCTCTAACGGTCGAGACGACCGGATGCGTCCGATCAGGACGACAACAGCGTCCGGTCAGTAGCAGAAAGTTTGGTTTCGCCCCCAACGACTACTTTCTCGGTGGGGCTTATAAATAGACTGCCCAACCGACCATTTGAGATGTGGAGAGCTAAGGAAACATACCAATGATGTTGATACATCATTTTAGTGATCTTCACTTGCATAGTGCTTAGTGATTCTGAAAGTGCATCTAGCCCTTTAGTGAATTTTGGATGATTGAATGACAACACGATTAAAGGACTAACATATTTGCTAAGTGTTAGACAGGAAGTTGATTATCTCACAGATACTTAATGAAAGCCAAAATGATGTGTTGTTGTATAAACAATCTAGTTCAAGCACAAGACAACAATGCAAATGGAATTCATGTGAAGGCTTATTTATTGTGGGATTTCCATGTACTATGTGATAGCAAGCTCATGATTATTAGTTAATGAGACATGATGGATTGCATATGGAATGGTCTCATATCTGAAGCTTGCTAAATTAAAATGAAAAAGATAACAATACATATGAATGGATGATTCAACACAAGATGTGACTTGATGGCTTGAGATGGTGAAGATAGCAAGGAAAGGCTTGAGGTACTAAGCAAGGGTGAAGGGCAAGCGGCGGCTTGGCGGCCAAGAACCTAGCTAGGGTGAAGAAGAAAGTACTTGCATTTAGTTGAGGTACTAATCAAGCTAAGATGGTCATATTGATGTGAAGAATCAAATCTATAATGAAGTATTTGATGGAAGTGACTTGATACATTTGGGGTTATTCAAATTTGATGAATGGAATCAAGTCACATGCTCAAGATGGCTATGCTCAAATGAAAAGATCAACATCAACTTGTTAGCACCCTTACTTGATGAAGATTGTAAGGGACGGCATCAATTCAAAAAGAAATCAACTCAAGTGGTATAAATTCATTTTTCTTTTGATCTTGAGTTTAATAGGTATGCCGTACTATTAAGAGGATGCATCATGTTGATAGATAATGTTTCATAAGTGCTCAAGCCAACCCATGTGAGTTTTGAGTATTTGAGAGACAAAAGAGCTAATTGATTTGTTGTTGGTTCGGCAATACGGACGTGTCCGGTATTCATACCGGACGTGTCCGTGATTTGTCCAAAGAAATGTAAAATTGTTGTTCTCGGGTTGGTTAGTCGGGAGTTCCGGCGTAGGTCGGGAGTTCCGACGGTCGGAGTCCCGGCATGGGTCGGGAGTTCCGACATGTCGCACTTCAACCGACTTGGAGGTTCATCGTCTCGGGTCATACCGGACGTGTCCGTATTAATACCGGACGTGTCCCAGATGGATGACCGAAGCCAACGGCTAGTTTTCAAAAGCCGTGAGGGTCGGGAGTTCCGGCGTATGTCGGGAGTTCCGACGGTCGGAGTTCCGACATATGTCGGGAGTTCCGACACCTCACTAACTTTAACTCGCCATTTGTTTTTCAAAATTATCGAGGGTCGGGGTTCCGACTTGAGTCGAGTTCCGACGGTCGGAAGTCCCGGCATTCTTCGGGAGTTCCGATGCCTCACAACATCACTGTAACTTAGTTACCGTTGGCGCAGTGTGAGTCATACCGGACGTGTCCGGTATGCATACCGGACGTGTCCGGTATTACAACGGCTATAAAACGGCTAGTTTTTCAAGGGGGCTATAAATACCCCCAAGCCTCCACCTTTGGATGCTCAGCTGATTCTACTTGACTTAGACACACGTTTTTGAGCCTTGCCAACCCTCTCTTAGTGAGTGATTGATCAAACTTGCAAAATCAATTTGTGGGTTCAAGAAATTCAAAAGAGAGCCATCCAACCACTTGAGCACTTGTGCATATTGTCAATCTCGTGATTCGCATTTTGTTACTCTTGGACTCTTCGGTCCTAGACGGTTAGACGTCACGGAGAGCACCCGGAGATTGTGGTGTGCCTCGGAAAGTTTAGAAGCGGTCGATTCCGCCGCCTCGGAATCAATTAGTGGAAGGAGGAAAAGGAGTTGGAAAAGACTCCGGCTAGAGTGACCTTCGTGGTATCCTCTAGGGCTGACCTTGTTGGTCGCCTGCAGCCCCCTCAACGGAGAGTAGGACTCGAACGAGTCCGAACTTCTAAAACAAATATCGTGTCTCAATTCGCATTTCATTTGATATTTGTGTTGCTCTAGCACTTGTGCAGGTTCTCTGTGTATATCTTGATAGTTAAATTAGGTGACTGCAGTTTGGTTTGAAGATAGAAATCAAAAGGAGCAAGTTCGGGCTGATCTGCAAATGTGTGTATATGGGACACGTCCGGTATTTCCTGCTACACTAAAAATATTTATTCTCTGTTCTAACTTGATGTTGCAGGTTGTAGCTTCTAGATATATTCTTTATACCTTGTTTACTCTGTGGCTAACTTGTGTGAGGGGTGGTAGTACTCTTAATTTGGAGTTTCCATTTTGGAAACTCCCTTTCTAATTGTTTCCGCATTTAAAGGTGTTAATTTTCGAAACGCCTATTCACCCCCCTCTAGGCGACATCCTAGGTCCTTTCAATTGGTATCGAGCGTGGTTCTCACCTAAAGCTTCACCGCCGTGAGAAAAGGATGTCGACGCCTATCGAGTTGGAGCCGGTGCTTCTCCAAAATGATGGTTCAAACTTTCTACCTTGGTCAATACATGTACTCAATGCTTTTAGAGATATTAGTCCTCTTGTTGAGCATATTGTGGATGCAAGCATACCTCTTTCTATAGTTGATTGGAGCAACTACAAAAATTTGTCAAAAGAGGAAGAGATATGCGTGCAACTCAATGCTCAAGCTATTAATATTATTTTGAGTACATTGAGTGTAGAGGTTCAAGATGAGGCAATCTTCAATGGACAACCACCTCCTGGAGAGTGCTCATCTCATTTGGACTAGACTTTTTGATTTGTATGGAAAATCCAAATGTGATGATGCACTTGAGATTAAGTCATTGGAAAGTATGTCCATTGTGTCATCATACAAATGAAGAAGCCTCACAAGACCTCAAGAGCACCGAGTCGAGAGCAGAAGTGCAAGCAACACATGACGTCTTTGTCGTGCAGACATATCTGGACGTGTCCGGTATGCCTACCGGACGTGTCCGGTATGCCTACCGGACGTGTCCGGTATGGCCGAGGCAGCAGACCAGCAAGCAGCTGTTTGCAACGATGCTCAAGCCCGATGGCGACCAAGTGATGAGTCAACCTCAGTATCCCATGATACTCATCAGTTGTGTCTCATGGCCAAGAAAAGCAAGAAGAAGAATAACAAGAAAGATCAAGAAAAGGAGAAAGCACAAGTAGATGATCAAGATAAGAGTGATGTTGAAGTTGAAGACAACTACAACCTTGATCATCTCAACCATAAAGACAAGTTCATCATCATGAAGATAGTTAAAAAGAATGATGAGCTTGAAGAAGAGATTGAGAAGCAAGAGCAATCGCTTCAAAATCAAGAAAAGTTTCTCATCTCCAAATTGCAAGAGCTAAAGGCAATAAATGAGAGGTATGAAAAATTGTCAATTGAGCATGCTTTAGCTACTAACTCCTCTTCTAGTGTTTCACAACTAGAGAAGGAAAACTTCGAGCTCAAAGCAAGGCTAGATGAACTATCAAGCAAGTATAATGAGCTACAAGCAAATTATGTTCATCTAAAGTGCTCTCATGAGGAAGTAGTAGAATCAAGCATCATGCTTGAGGTGGCTCATGAGGTTGTGATTACATCGGTAAAATTCTCTCAACCTCTAACACATCCGCTCACTAGTACACCATCTCAATTAAATATTTCTTGTACTAATGAATGTGCTCCTCAAGCAAGCCAACCTTCGATTGAGCTAAATCTTATAGAAAACATAGAGCTCAAAGAAGAAGTGCAAAGATTAAAGAAAAATGTGATTCGGTTGAAGGGTAAGGAGAAAGCACAACCTTCTCAAGATAACCGTGATAACATGGTGAAGAAGCTTGAGAAGGGTTCAAACCTTGCTTCCTCCAAAGCCCAACAAAAGAATCACATCTCAAGCAAGGCCAACACAACCAAGAGCAAGAAACATGGAAAAAGGATGTGCTATGGTTGTGGATTGTATGGACATGAGTGGGCTAT